GTTGATGTAATTTTCTCTAGAGAATAAATGTATTGTTTAGAAAATTGTCTTCCAAATTGATACTTAATTGAAAGTATCCCATTTCCTTAAGATATTTGACTAGTAATTGTGAAGCCACATAAGGTATCCCAACACTGCCTTAATTTTAATGTTTTGTGGTCCTTTTTAGGCTTCATCCATTATCTGTCATTCAGTATTTTTGACCTATTATTTTTTGCTCTAATAAGGAGTTAATAGATAACTTATGAAAATATTTAATGAGAGAAACTCCAAGTGTCTAAATCTAATAGTCTAACCATCTCATTTTATAGGTGATAAAACTAAACAGAGTTTACACGAATTGCCATATTCTCACATTTATTTGCAAATTTCTGTATGATTTTCTAAAATATTTAGACCTGCTTCAACAGCTTGTTTCAGTATAGAAAATTTAGCACTATTGCTGTTATTATTTGCTATCAAGTCAGCTCTGCCTCATAATGGCCCTATAGACAACAGAATGAAATTGTCTGATTCTGCGTCATCCTTAGAATTTTTATTGTGCTTAATCTAACAGATAGTCACTACACCAATCCATCCCACTGAGGATCTCTCTCTCCTTCATTGGCTTTTCACTTTTCCAACCATGATGACACTAATAAGTAGTGTAGGCACTCAATAAACATTCTCCCATTTGTTTCTTTGAGTACTTAGCTGTATTATCTTCCTTTCAGCAGCTCATATTTAGTAATTTAACCTACTATAGAGATTTTGACCAAGCAGCTTTTCTGTCATTTGCATTATGACAGTCACAAAGAGATTCCTTAGATTTTATGATCAATTTTCCTTTATTACTGTGCATATGCACTTAACCTTGGTGATAATTCTGTATTCATTATCCCTAGCAATTACATTATCTAAAATTTTCACATAATCCATTACTCTCATCACAGAAAATGTGTTTACTTAACCACAAATAAATGCAAGACCTTATTTGTCTAAATAATAATATTTTTTAATAAAAAATATCTGGCATCTAATAGTCTAGGGCTCACTGTTTATCTCAAGCAAGTCAATAAATGTCTCTAAGTATCTGAGTCTTCCTCTCTTAAATCTGTCATACTTTAATTAATCACTTCACTTTGCACTCAATATTGAATGATAAGTTGTATAAAAGTGCTTTATTAATTTACAGTCAGCCAGGCTACAAGTCTCACAAAGCATGACCATATTCATTTCTGTACTTCTGTCACTTAATTCAGTACCTGAGTTAAAATAGTAACTTCTTGTAAAACTACACAGAAATAAAAAGAATAGTACTATATGCATTTATGCATTAACAATAATGTTTTCCTATGTAGTCTTGGGTCAGATGATCACAAAAATCTATCATAACTCCTTTCACTCTATCCAAGATGGCTGGATGGCCTAAATGCTCAAGCATTCAAATGCTAGTCAAAAAAAGTGGCCGTTCAAACCCACCCAGAGGCATGTCAGAAAATAAGCTCCTCACCATCATCACCACCAAGGAGTTTTGTTGGCTTTGCAGAAAGGAATTCTGCTGCGATTGAAAAGGTGTGAGGTTCGAATCCACCAGGTGCTCCATGGGAGAAAGATGGGAACTCTCCTCTGATGTAATTTACTGTCTCTGAAAACTCACTGGAGAGTCAGCTAGGGAGTGGTTCCTGACTTGACGGTACACAACCACCACCACCCGCAGCAGCACTATCTTAATTTTCTAGAAGAGAAACAAAAATGTGTGTTTTCTAGTTTCTAAATTCAGGAAGCTTGTCTTTGAAGATTACTATTTAATGCATCCTGTGATGAGTTTTGGAAAATAGGTTTGAATCATTATTTATGGAATGCTTGTCAAAAGAATTATATTTCAGTGCTGGATCCAGTCAATGATTTACTGCACCTATTCAAATAACCTGCTATGATTTCTTGTTTTTAATACATTCCAACCTAACTTTTAGTGGTAGTAACAATAACAATACTGAAAGCTTTCCATAGTCTACCTCTCTGTGGTTGATAGCTTACATTGTCCCCATCATTTGTATTATAGAGACAATTCTGACTCATAGAGACCCAGTAGGACAGAGTAGAACTACCCTATAAAGATTTCTGAGGCTATAAATCTTTCCCAAAGCAAAATGATATGTGTTTTGTTTTGTTTTTCCTGTGGAGTAGCTGAGAAGTTCAAAGCACCAACCTCCCCTGTGGTAGTCAAACATTTAACAACTGTGCCATTCAAACTCTTTTACTAAACATTTTTATACCATTTGTGTGTGTGTGTGTCTCATTTGCTTATTATGTGGCAGAGACCAGTATTTGTGGGCTTTTAGTTACTTATACCTTTCAAATTCTTTGAAAAGATTAGCTAATAAAGGGATGTGTATACCCTTCCTAGACCAGACTGCTCTCCGCCTGTTGCTTACAGGACATAAAGCTCAATAAAATGGAAGATGGAAGTAAAGCAAAGCTTTGAAAACTGACACACAACACAATGTCTAATAAGACTTGCAACTTTATTTAAGTGAGGAAAAAGGGAGCAAAAACAGGGATTTTTGTTTTGTTTTATATTGTATTTTTTACAAAAGGTTTAAAGAATTATTTTGCTTTATTGGCTAGAGTCACAAGAAGGATTCAACCACCATAGGTTGAGGAATAGTTTTCTTTCAAGCTTATGACTTCCTAAATTTTAATTCAATTATAAAACCATTCTGCACAACCCCAGGGAAGCCTGGTTCATGCATCCTCTACTCCTTAAAACCACAAACAGCAGATTATGAGAAGAAAATATAAGCAGTCCTTGATTCATGTCAGAGTAAAGGGGAAGGGGAATCTAAAAATATAAGCTTGCATAGGCATTTAAATTATTGCTGTTTTGTATAAAATAATTACAAGGTGATTTGGGACTAATTTCCTCCTTTCCCTCACAACAAAATGCAGGATGTACTAGCAAAATCATATAATATTTTCCAGTTGAAGTCTTAGGTTGTGTTTACAAACACCTGTATGAAGCCCAAGGAATTTGCATGAAGAGGGAGAAATAAATTAAATAAATAAAATCTGATAAATAACTCAGAAAACCCTATTATCTATACTTAAATGTCAGAAAAAGCTAGCCTCAAGGACAGACCTTCTCACAACCTCTCACCAAACCAAAGGCCTGCATACACTCAGAAAACACACAAGATGGCTTTAAAAATCAGAGAGAAAGTCATCTTGGAAAATTGATAAAGTGTCAGTTCCTGCTTTGAATTGTTTCCAACTTGATGTCAATGAGTTGAGTTCTTTTGAGTCCTCCAGGACATCTCATAGTGCAAGTAAGCACTTTGTTGACTGGAAGGGTTTAAGATCTCTACACAAGTCTATATTCTGGTAGGTTTACAAACAAAGGGTGCAAAATATATCAAGGTAAGTGCTGCAAGCAAAACAAGAAGAAAAAAATATAATTGCAGATCAATAACAATAAATAAGAGGGATTAAAAGGACAGGATAAAGTTTGGCAGTATTTGAAGTAACTAGCTGAGCTATAGAAAATGAAATACTAATTTGGTTTATCCTTTTTATTAAATAGTCCTATTGGTGTATCCCCTGGCTATCCTCTCTGGCAGTCACAGGCTATGATCTACTATCATAACAGCCAGACTCTTGAGTTTAAATGTTTAAGTACCTCAAACAGGACAGTGGAATTTTTTATCTTATTTCTCTGTAGAGAGATACATGTTGCAAAATTAGTACTAGCATAATGGAAAGAGGAGATACATGTACAAACAGAAATATCCCACAGATTGAGATAAATCTGCAGGATGAAAGTAGATTGATTTTCATTTCTGCATCCTTAAGCATGGTCACTTGAAATTGGATCAATAATATGTAATAATATGTCAACCCTCAGGAGTCATGAAGAGGTAACAATTAGAGATGGGGGAGATAAAAACCGTACATAATTTAAAAAAATTCATTTTGGTTACTATATTGATTAGTACTTGTACTTGTGGAAAATATACTATTGGCATGGACACTGGCCAGTGGTTTCAGTCACATTTACTTGATGTTTGTCAAGTGAAATTCATTAGTTTGCCCATTTGTAAGGCAGTCAGTGTGGCCAGTAGCCATTTTATTGCTCTTGAATACAGGCCTGAGTTGGTCACTGATTCCAAAAGTAATACCTCCATTTCTGTACCATTTTCAGAACCCTATAATTATGGAAGCCTCGGAATGGTCTAGATGACGCCTCTAGGCTCATCTGGTCAGAGTATGAGATTTAAGTGATTTTTCTAGCCACATCTCTAGTTCTGAGAAAATGCCAAAAATCAGGTGAAATGAAGCCTCTCTTACAGTCTTCAGATTCCTAGGGAAAATATATACAATTTTTAACTCAACAGGAGATACAGTTAATCTTTTAAAGAGTATGTGGTTTGTTATTAACAATGACAGCCAATTTAGCATTTTAGCATCGGGAGACAATTTTTAAATAGATATACACAATCTTGTCATCAAATCCTAGCAACTTTTGCTTTTGTTTAAGCTGAGAGACATTCACTTTGTGCTTCTTTTAACATTCTAACCTGGCCCAAGCATGGTGTCATTTCCTATTATTCATCAGCTTTTTTTTCTATTTTAAATTATTCCCAGTCATAGCATTTTAGAGCTGTGAAAGACTTTAGAAATTGTCTAGATTTAAAACAGCACACTGCCTCATTTTACCAGTAAGTGAACATACCAGAGACAGAAAAGCAATTGATAGTGATCATTCAACAGGTTTTTGGCACCAACTGAAATAGGTCTATGTCTTCTGTTTTAGTTCCAGACGGTTATAAGTCATTAAATAATTTCACTAGAGGACCCTAAATAAAAGCCAAAACTATGTAAGATGCTCACGAGAAGAGAGGATTACAGACGTAGGAGGACCTATATGGATTATTGTGTTTGAAATTGGGTTTAAGATTATTTAATCTTCAGCATTATGGTAAATATCTTCACACTATCTCTGAAAGACTGATCTTAATTCTCTAATCAGTGAAGATGGTGTTGAGTTGAGCCCCAATGCCAGGGTGGGGGTAGGAATCATAGGACATATCTATGGGAACATCATAGCGAGGGTTTGCAGCCTGAAAGGGAGTTGAATGAACTTGCCCTGAGGTTAAACTTGCAGAGGAGTAGTGTGGCATGAAGTTGTAGGATTTCTCCAGGTCAGGAGAGCCATCTTGTTTCAAAGAGAAATTCCCACTGATGCTCAGAGGTGGAGTGAGTGGACCTTCATAAGGAGGTGTGCTGCAATCAGGTGGATGGCTCCCAAAGGATGAGTCCCCCATATTCTTAAATATTGGGGGCTTGAGATGAATAAGGTGTGTTTCCATATGGCCATAAGGAGGACTCGGGAGCCCTGGAGATTGATAGTTGAAGTTCTGGACAGAGATGGCAGAGTCACAAATAGGAGATTTCTCCTCACGTTTCTCCAGAAGGGCAGACTGAGGACTCAGCTGAAGACATCCAGCCACCAGATTGCTTGTGGGTTGAGAAAGCCCTTTACAGAGCATCTCCACAAAGCCCTTCCCTTCAGGTGTTTGTCCAGTCTCCAGGACCTCAGACAAAGCCCAGATATAGTTCCTGGCCAGTCTAAGAGTTTCTATCTTGGAAAGCTTTTGGGTTTTAGAATAACATGGCATGACTCTTCTCAGGTTATCCAATGCATCATTCAGGCCATGCATTCGAGTCCTTTCTCTAGCGTTGGCTTTTACTCTTCGAGCCCTAAATCTCTCAAGTCGGGCTTTGGTCATCTTCTTTTTCTTGGGTCCTCTTCTCTTGGGCTTCTCTTCATCTTCTTCCTCCTCCTCTTCTTCAATGCTGTCATGCTCTTCAGCTAAGTTTCCAAGTATTCCATAAGTAGCTGATTGTCTTTCCTCCTCCTTTATCTCATTCTGAGAGCTCAGACTTTTGTCAATCCATGATGGTGTGCTAACCAGCTCCACCATATCCTTCGGTTTCATGTAAGTCTTTGCCATCTCCAGGATCTGCAAAAGAGCAACGAGAGGAGTTAACACCTGTAGATAGTCTGTTTCATTACTAATTAAACTTTTGTTTTATACTTCGGTTTTAATGCACAAAACTTGTATTGATATTCAATTTACAATCACCTACTCTAAGCCTTTCATTCTAAATGGAAAATCCAAGACTCATAGTTATGTCTAAAGAACTCATCTATTTATGGTATAAGAAAATAAGCTCCAGAAAATGGAAATTGGCTTGATAATTCATTTCAATTCTTCTTTTAATATTTTTCCCTTATAGTTATTCTATTTAAAAAAACTGGTATACCTTTCCAAATATTTTCTTTTCTTGTGGAACATAATAGAAATGACAGTAATATAAAATACAAATAGATAAAATAGTCATATAAATCACTGTCTGAACAAAGAAATTTATAAAAGACAAAGTTTAAATTAATTTTAATTATAGAATAGTAACAAATATATTACAAAATTTCAATCATATTTATTAATAGAATAAGTAAAGAGCTTTATATTTCCATAATAAAACACTTTAACAAAAGAATTCAGAATATCTTGGATGTGTTCTACCAAGGACTGCTCACTCTGTTTAGAAGTATTGTATATAAAGTCAACCTGTAATATCCCATGATTCCCACTGATCCTGCCAATTGATGACTTCAAGCATCTCCAAGTCAGTGGCAAGAGCCCTAGAATAACTAATACACCACAGGACCACCAAACATCAATCTCCTATCATTAAAGAATCATTTAATTGTCTCTATACCCTGTGCATTATCTATAAAAGGGAGATATTAGTGACACACAACTGAAAAGGATTCAATTGAGCCATGTTTGAAATAAGAATTCTTCATTTCAAGGTACATCTCACACCATCATACAAGACCATGGCAAGAAGAAGTAAAAGCCAGAAGTCTATCAAATCAATCCAAGTATATGTTAGTGTAGCTATTGCAATTCTTTATTAAAACTTAAAATCTGAGGGGAGCTCTGGTGGACTAGTGGCAAGAAGCTGCACTGCAATCCCAGAGGCACACGGTTCAAATCCACCAGATGCTCTGCCGGGAAAGGAGGGACAATCTCCTCCTGTACCAGTTAGATTCGATTTGACGGTACACACACACACACACACACACACACACACACACACACAAAATAAAAAAAGTAATAATAATTAAAAAATTTAAAAAAATTATAATCTGGAATAAATGTTCAATGTCGCAAAATATACTGACAGCAAAAATAGTAGGTTTTTAAATTTTTTTTATATTGGTTTCTTTACAGAGTTCCTATAAATTGTGTTTTGCACTATTCTTTATTCACATTGTGTTTCATACAATCATTTCCATTGACTATGTTTTCTAAAATGAATCGCTGTTGAACTATGCCCACTTTGTCTTTTCAGGTCCCTGTCTGATCTTTCGCATTTCCTTTACCACTTCACTCCACCCACCAAATTGTGCAACCTTGTAATTCCACCTCTACCTATCCCCACTTCTCTGCTCCCACCCTTTCCCCCTATGATCCTCATATATTTTTAATAATTGATTTCTTAAATCAAGCCATTCCTTTTAAGGAATTCTAAGTGGACCAAGCCTTCAACTTTTTCATTAGCAAAAGAGAACATTAGCCATTTTTACTACCCAGTGAGTGCAGGAAACCTAGAAAACAATCTTTATTTCAACTTATAATTCATTTTACTAATTTAATTCACTTGCCTAGAAGATACTGTTTAAATGGGATTTTTCTACAGAAAATTTGCTCTTTGAAAACTAGAAGACACCAGAGGCTTAAGACGGATTTTAAGTTCTCAAAGGGTTTGAATTGTTTTTGAGATTTGTTGAGAAATTTATAAATATGTAATTTACCAAACAAAAGTGCCTGTTAAGCTCCACTGGGGGCATCCCAGTTTTCCAGATAGTTTTCTAAATGTTTGAATTGTTAAACCCTCCATCACCTTTGTAAGTCAGAAATGGGAAAACATGATAAAGGTTCGTTGATCCTTGAAGCTTGAGTGTAGCCTCAAATCAATGAAGGTAGTGCTTAGTACATAGCTTTTTAAATATAGAATTATACTATTTGACTTGTTTCTGGTAATCGGAGCTTGTTTTTCTTGTAACCTCATTTACCTTCTATAAATAATTAATGTTACTGCATTGTGAAAACAGCCTAGGTTTCATGTTAATCAGCACGGAAATCATGTCAGCTTGACTTACTCACTTAATAAGGCTTTCTGGGCAAGCAGCTTTATTGAAAACACACGTTGGAACCTATTGGTCAACTGACTGCCCAGGCCAAGTCAGAAAATCCCACTTTTAATATGGATGATGGAGCTTGTTTGCTGAGCTGCACTTTTAACTCAGGGAGATATCCAGAAGGAGGGGGGGGAAAGACCTAATTAACTTTCTGTTAAAGTAACACAGACCCTTCACAGGCAGGTGCATGTTGAGGTCAAAGAGGATGGAGTAGGCTTGGGAATCAGAATACTCCCTATGTAATTATAATAACATTTGTGTAGCACTTTTACAGAGCACTTTTGCATCCATTAACTCACAATTCCTTTATAGTAAAACTCTGAGAGACAGAGAAATTGTTATACTTAAGGTCATTTTGGGTCAAGGAAGTTGACCAAAGGACACAAAAAAGCATAGAACTGGCAGTGAGTCCAGGATATAAGACCAAGTCTTTTTCTTCCAAAGACTATTGTTGTTGTGGTTGTTGTTGTTAGGTGCCATTGATCAACTCTGACTCACAGTTACTCTGTGAACAATAGATCAGAGTCTTAGCCTAACCTGTGCATCCTCACAATCTCAGACTTGCTTGAAGTGATTGTTACAGTGACTGTCAATCCATCTCATTGAGGGTCAGCATCTGAAAGTTGGACAACGAATAATGATAAATGAAGAATAAACTATGCCTCTGAATTACAGTATGGGTAAAGATTATTTAATGTTGCAGACTGCTGAAAGAACAAACAAATCCTTCTTGATGATAGTGCAACTAGGGTGCTTCTCAGAGTCACAGATTATGACATTTCATCTCAAATTCTTTAGTCATGTTGGCATGAGAGGTTATCTTGGGAAAAGATATCTTGCAGGGAAAGGTAGAGGGTCAGTGAAAGAGAAAAAGACCCTCAAAATCTTAACGCTGGATTTATACACTCCTTTATTTTCACCCATCAAACTCAAAGGGGGAAAAGGGGGACATTTTGACTATAGGTATAGCTCATGAAAATCAGTCACAAGGAAATGATGATCAATCAAAGAGGGCTCATATATAGGTTTTCTGAGTTCTTGTTTAACTCTAATATTCCAGGATTCCTTCTACTAGATTTTTTTGCTGCTTTCACCAACTTAATCATACATCTTCTAGTTCTTCTCTTCCTCTTCTTCTCATTTCTTTATCATAATCATCACTGGATTATACTTACATGCATGAGGAGGAGGAAAAGGAAAATTCAAGACAGGAAAGATGAGACTGAATTGTCCCTGAATTTTAGAAAACAATCTTAGCTTAGGTTCTTGGTCTTTCTTACTATCTCCTCCTTTGTACTTTCAGGCTCTGTCAAGCTTCACTTTGCCCAAGAAGTTGGACTGGGAGAAACTTTAAGATGATTTGATGATCTTTATAAGGAGTAAGGAGTTTAGGAACTGTCTTCAAATTTGTAGATTGTCTACAAACGTGAAAGAATAGACCCAATTGGCTTTGGTCATAACAACAAAAAGTGCAACTAATTCTTCTTCTTTTTTTATTGTTTTGATTTTTTAAATTTTATTAGTTTTAATAAACATTTACAGAGATTTTGGGTTTTCATTCATTGATTGTTGCACTGTTTTCTCTACCCTTCTCCCCAGTACTTTCTTCTCCCCCACCCCGAATGTCTGTTTTAATTGTCCAATTGCCACAGTGCTTGTCAAAGCCAGTTCTGATTAATCTCCTTTGTCAGTGTGTCCTTTGCTATTCCCTATCCCTCCTCCCTGAGAGAGACTTCACCCTGATTCATAAGGAAAAGGGGATGGCGTATTCTCTTAGCTACTTCCTGCTGAAAAGGGACACTGTGGGTTTCAGGGTGAAAATCTTCTCTCATTACTCTAAAGGGCCCCTTTGGCAGTAGGAAACACATAGACCGTTATGGATAATTTTTCTTCTTTCACTAGTTTAACTTCCTCTGTTCTCATAGATACTGGTCCATAGGATTAAGAGAATCCTATGAGGATTTAGTATGATTTCAAGAGCATGAAAATCTGGAATACCACAGATGTTTAACTCTAGTCTCACTCCTATAAAAACTCCTATAACAACTTACTCCTGATTTCTGATTGCTGAAAATTATGTAAACTCTTTGATGAAATAAAAGGAAGACCTTTGAACATAATGCTATAAAATATATAAACTTATAAGAATAGATTTTTTAAGCTAAAGTTGCTACAGACATTGCTGTTGTTGTTGTGTGCCATTAAGTTGCCTGAATTTCACAGTAACCCTCTGTAAAATAAGCTCAGAACTCTGCCCTATTTTGAGCCAGTCTCACTATGTCTGACATATCTAGTCCCATCACCCCAGTTACTGTGTCAATCCCTCTCATCAACGGTCTTCCTTTCTTGTAGTGTCCTTCCCCCCTTCCAAGCATGATGCCCTTCTCCAAGGATTGGTCTTTCCTGGCCACTGCCCAAGGTATGAGATAGAACTTTAAAATCCTTCCCTCTAAGGAGCAGCTTGGTTTCACTCTCTCCAAGACAGACCCATTTGTTTTCTTGGAAGTCCATGGTATGTTCTGTTTTCTTCTCCAGCACCACAACTTTAAGGCATCGATTCGTCTTCTTTCATCCCAAGTTATTGTCCAGATCTCAGATGAATAGCAAGTAATTGTAAAGACCATGGTCTGGATCATTATTTCTATATTTTGTGTTTATGCTTCAGATTTCAAATATAATAGTATTTACTTCCTAAAAAGTAGAATGATTTCTCATAAGTGAATACTGCAAATGGATTTT